AATATTTCACAAAAAGCGTTACACAATACGAAAATGTGTCATAACGCCTTCTTACGATGAAAGCCAACAAGCAGCTCGAAGCTTGAAAAGAGAGTAAAATGATTGCTGTAGTGCAACGCAAACGCAGAAGAATGAACATTTTCTCCAAAAGCCGTGGGGCACATAACCCAGAGGTAGGTTTAGGCCACAAAATTTTGACCCTAGGCTTAAGCAACGATTAATGCTTTGGCTTCTCTCAGCAATCCACATGTCATCAGGCGTTCGTTGGTCGTAAGTAAAAAATCATATGAGCCATCTTAGGCAAACAAACTCATGCTCGTAGCATCAGTTGTGGCAAAAAGAATGCTGCTTGTCCTAGGTCCGTCTGCTATAACCACACTTTTTGCTTTCAAGAGGACAAACCAAATATGAGTAACATATGGATCATAAAATTATTTGTTCCGCATCCCTTTCTCCCATCCTGACCGATGGACCGTGTTCGAAATACAGCGTTTGTAGCAGATGAGCCTTATTATGATTTGCGTTAAATTAATAGTTCACTGTTTAGTTTTTGCGGAAGTTATAATTCTGGCTAGATATTTCTATTTATCACAAACACGTGTTTCACTGGTTTCACCAGGTTGCAACACAGGTGAGAAAGCCATTATTGAACTAGCTGAAAATATTCTTAACGGATTCAGTATCAGCCTGTCAAAATAAATGTCTTCACTTCAGCGGCTTTCGGAATGTAAGAATTTCTAAGCAAAGTAAGTCACTCCGCATCGTTAAAATACGCCTAAATACCTATCTGAATATGCAGTGATTCATCCTCGAAGTTTATGTTGTGCGGCCCAGCCAGAGATATAGACCTCATAAAGATAATGTCTGGACTACTGCCTGCCAAAACTACCTGTTGTTTCCAGATGAGTGCTTGTAGTATAATGGATAGATGAGAGATGGTAAGGAAGTAAGCAACTCTATGTATCGCAACTAGTTCACTTTATTGAAAGAATAAAATTCAGACTTCGTTAGATGAAAGCATACCAAAGCTGTGAAGGAAGGGAGGGATATAAGAATAAATACGCCTCACAACCGGTAATTTGTCAGTCATTTATTATCACCAACTCAGAATAAATTTTTGAGTAGTTCCAACTGCCTAGTTTCTGAAAAGAGTTTTAAAGATTCATACGAATCCTGGTCAAGACTTGACCCAAGAAAACGTCACCTGTATCTGAAATTTAGAAGATGTAAGACTGAATATTCAGCTACGAGGATGGTGATCTAACGCTTGCAGAATGACTGATCCCCTTAATAATCCAACGGAGTTCTCAAGACGTAGTTACTCTTCAAACTTAAATGTGAAAGCACAGAAGCAGATAACAAATACTCCCAAAGTGCTTAAAGAAAGCGGGAAAATCTCTGGGCTCACGTACCACTCGCTAATACCTACAGGGGGTAACACAACACAGTTGTATGGTCTGCTTGGGGTACAAAAACCCAGGTGGTCTCTTCATCCGGTTTCAGATGTGCCTAACTTCGTACTACGCTTTTACAAGGTGGCTAGTTGAGACGTTACATCCCTCACGCAAAGAATTAGTTAACCATGGTGCGAAAGGCGTCTTCCGATTTATTTCTGCGCTAGATAGTGAGAATGCAAATGGTTAACATATGACGTTACCCGACGTTTCATCACAATTCACAAATTGCCACTGCTGGAGACGGTGGGGTTTTTGTTACATGTATATTAGAAAGGCAACTCACTATCGGAATTCAACCACACATCCTCAGAGAATCATTTCTTAGACGTACTATGAATGCATAATTTGTCTTCAGCGGCACATATTATAGGCAGATTGATGAGGTAGCTTTGGGTTCACCGTTTGGTCTTTCTTTAACTGGCAAATTTCTTGACAAACTGGAGAACGGAACATTGCAGAGCGTCGTGAGATATGTACCACCGTTGTATTGACGACACACTCCCTATCCTGGATCAGAACGTGGATTAGGACAACGTGCTAAGAAAACTTAATGGGGTGCATCCCTCACTCGTGATGAAGTTTCAAGTAAACTACACTTCATGGACGCCTTGCCGGGCAGACAGAAAGATGGTTCCATCAGCAGGTGCTTTTGTGTGAAGGCCATATCCACAAGTCAGTACACAGATTTCCCTACCCACGTACGCATGCGGAATGAAGAAATCTCGGTTAAATGCCTCACCTACAGATCGAGAAGAATATCTGTGGTGATTTGATACGCAAGGAGTTAGAATGTATTAGAAATTTTTTGATCGAAATGGGCTACTTTAACGGTTTCATAAAAAGACACCATGGATAAAAAGAAAGAAAATGAGTCTAGGGTTATCGCTGTCCGAAAGAAAATGCTTTTCATGAAGTCGAAATTTCATGGAGACATAGCCACGGCATTTCTATATCCGAGACTCTCCGGAGCCACTAAGATTTTCCACGCTGCAAAACCCTGTTTGTCGACTTCCAACCGACCAACTGCTTTTGCTCAGACAAAAGATAACGTATCTACTTTTGCTATTCCTGTCGAGAAAGCCAGATAGGCTGAAACACTGGACAACTTAATAGACGCGTTGTTTAGCGTCTACGCTCATTGTTGGGAAACGGACAGGTAAAATCCATCGGAAGCTCTGGCTCATTTCGCCTCGTTGACAGTGGCCGCTTGGTAGAAAAGAAAAACGCTTTCAGGGTTACTCATTCCATACCATCTAATCCTTTGAGAGGCATTCGAACTCGTCTTTTGCATATCGCAGAAATTGCGGAAATTCCGGCCACAAATACGTCTTCGTATCGACAGGAAGTTTGGATATCCCTTATCTCTCCTTTGGACAGGTAATGCTCCACAATTAACACCATCATTGAAAGTTTTCCTATTGTCTCCCTATTTTTTTACCTCTTTCCTATACTTACTACATATGTTAAGACTGTTCAATTACTTCATCCTTCAGTAATACGCAACTTCCATTTTTCCGAGCTTTCAACCCACTTTATGTATTAGAATATCCACATTTTCACGGCATTTCCTTGGTTCTCAACATTATTGTCATCTATGTTGCAACCACCGTGGTCAACACTGTCAACGTAATCATTATCAAAAAGGTATAAAGGGGACTGAATGTAAGTTATCATTTTTGTTATTTGTATTATTAACTCCATCGTTGTTTTAAGACACTTATCACACTAACCGGCAAACCTGCATGGTTACTTGGTTTTTAATACAAAGTTAGCTATTTAGATTAGAGTAAAGCCTGAAGAAGATCTACTTGAAAACAGTATTGTCCGCCTATATGTCTTTTTCTATGTAATTTAACAGCATGTGATCAACCTTACAGCTGCGGTCTGTTTGATAATCCGCCCCCCTAAAGTTCTTGACTGGTGGAACTGCGACGTCTGTTCCTGTTTAGTGCTTCAATCACTGATCATTCCATAGGAGAACCTCGTAATTTTTCTTGAAGATAAGTTCTTCTGCAGCCATGTAGACCAATGAATTATCCATTTAGTAATCGCACGCCAGACCAAATTAGATTAAGTATTTTAAGTGGCAATAACTTTCCAACTATATATTTCGATTATAATTTGTCTCATAAACGCTTGTGCAGCAAGGAAGCCTTGAGCAACCGGACGTTATTAATGCCTGTAAAATTCGGGCCAGGCCTGACAAGCCATGGTCAATAAGAGAGGAGGAGAGAAAGTCAGCGGTTGGAAATCCCAACAGAAACAACACTGTAGTTGTACATAGGATTCCAGAATTGCCAAGTGACAGCTCGGTCAAAGATCGCTACTTTCACGACGTCCAACAATGGCAATGGCTCTCAACCAAAGTTGGTCTCCACAGTATACTGGCCAACAGCGTCAGTAGACTGCCAAGGCCAGCGCACCTGAAGACCATACCCAATCCCAGACTACTCGCCGTCCAGTTCGACTTATATGCCTCCCTCACAGACGTTCTGCACGCATGGTATAATGCTAAAGATCGCATGGGTGGCTCAATACGTATATGTGAAAGTAAGCCTAGGCCCACAAGGCAAGAGGAGAGACGGCAACCACCAAGACTTCTGGAGTCAGTGGTCGTCACACAGGCGCTGACCAGTGAGTCAGATACATCAAGTAAAGAAGCCACCACTGCTACAGCCCCCACCCAAGTTAAGAACAAAACACAAAATACGGAACAATGCAAGTCCTATGAGGACTGGCGAGGCTAAAATCAACCACGTAAGCGCTCATCCCGCGAAAATACACATCCAGACCTCCCCTCTCATCAGGCACACTCTAATATGTATGTACAGCAACGTTAGGGGGCCAAGAGGGAAGGTAGCAGAAATGAGGACGCTGCGTGAACATCAGCACTAGGACATCATATTCATCACCGAATCCTGGCTCTCATCGGACATCTCCGACCAACAGATGCATGTTACTGGCATGGAACTCTTCGGCAGGGACAGGGAACATAGAGCAGGAGGGGGAGTGGCTATCTACGCAAACTCCTGTGTAAAGGCAATGATGGTTAGCGATACGGCCTTAACCCAGCTCCCAGAGTCTCTATGGTGCTACTTTACTCTCTTCTTTATTCTCTCTTCATTCCTTTACCACTACCTTACTATCCTCTTTCAGGTACCTACACAGACAGGAGTCACGGCAGTTCTCTAAACTTCACAGCAATCCGTAGCTCCCTGATCACTCTACAAATTACAACTTACTAACTCACAAAACATCCACCTCACCGGAGCTAAAAGCAAGAAAGCAGAGGGTATTTCCTCGTCCACTGCAGGAGTAAACCGAACAACTCGAACCAAGTTCTAAGAACTAGACGCGAGAGGTCAAAAACTACCAGTTTTCTACGCTCGCACTATCGATATTGGATATTGGAGCATTGGACGCAGCCTCGATGAGTGAGATATTTTTATCTTGGCGACAAATACGGATGTCGTTCCATATTAGCGGGATGGTACGTTTGACGTTTCCGTTTTACGGACTCCTCTAGGATTCGATACGAGTCACATGAGTTCAGATGCAGAATCGTCCAGCAGAGTTAATGGATGGTCATTACCGATTCATCCTCTACAGTGCCTTTCTTGGTTTGCTACCGCTATTTTCTCAATATTTTACTTTGGGATTCTGATCCCTACTATTGTTGAGACTGCCAGAGTCACCCTTATAGTTGTATCCTTGCGCAGTGTTTTTGCATGCATGTGCACGTGTTTTGAATTTGATAATCCGTGCCGCTAATAAGCCAGCCATCATTAAGTTTGGGCACAGATGAGAAACTTCGGACATCTTGCCAAACACACTTCGTGTGTACTTACCAACCTTTTTAAGTTCCTTTGGTTTTCGATAATTTTCACTAAGACTTACAGTATGGTAATTTTTAGGCATGTGAATGCGTACAAAAAAAGAATGCTACACCGAAGAATTTTCCGAATTATAACTTTGTAAATGGAGGTAAAGTGATTCCTCATAAACTTCGGCAGCATTGCTGGATCCTCGGAATATTTGGCAGTTTCGGGAAGGATTTATGGTGCATTCAGGAACTTGGCAATACTGACGGGATATTGGTTTTTTTTTCTGGGTAAGGTATTTTGCGTCACTGGGTGCAGCCTAATGTTTCTTTGGATTTTTGCCGAAAACTTCCAATGTGTGCCCCAGTGCCGGCTGGAGGCTTTTTTGAGTGCACTGTTATGGCTTGTGGAATGAAGACCATCGTTTCAAATATCATTTTACTGAGTCACAAATTGACATAAGTTTCTCATCTAATTTCCCACACTTCAGAAAGCTTAAGAAACTTAAAAAGGTCTCACACATTTTCCCTACTAGTTTGTAAGATGTATTGTGCTTGTAGTACCTGTTGCCGTGCATGTACCACAGACTGCTCCAAGTTCTAGTTTATTTTCTGAAGGGATGCAGGATTTTTAACTTTTGCTGCGAAGGGTCACATCTTCATCTTGTGTTAATGTGCTGTAGGTATTTTAAGGTAAAGTCAAATGAATAGTCCAAAGCCTTAAGCTATTTTTCACCTAACACTACGGTTTAGAATTTTGTTGATGGGTTCTATTTCAGTACACTTCGCATATTGATAATACACCACAATCTGTGAGTTATAAAGTGCTGTTTTCAGATGTAAGCACAAGGTAATTCTCTAAGGCTAACAAATGTCTCGTAAAGCCCATATGCAGTCCAATTTTTCTTACATTATTTACCACTTTTTCAACATTATTCATTGGCTTGCAACGACTGACAATAAAGAAGCCTTGCAAGCAACTGGATGGTCTAACGATTCTGTTTATTTTAATTTCAAGTTAATGCTTGGATACTGCTGGAAGGCATTGGAATTTTCGCGCACGATCTTTGAGTTTTCGTTAGAGACATACTCCTGGAAAAATATATATTGGCTTATTTACTTTCAGTTTTTTGGTCCATTATCTGCTATCAGTTAGTGAAGGCTATAGAAACCGCATTTATTTATGGCAGTGATGATCCATTTTTTCCTTAGTGGATCAAGCATCAACATAGACACCACTCCCCTAGAGATTTATTCGGATTTGATTACTTATTTAAAAGATTGGTGCTCAATGCAATATTTTCCGTGAATAATTTTATATTCATATGCTCTTACTTAATATGAGAAAGAAAAACACCTTTCAAATTTGGAACCATTACTTAAAAACTTGAACATCAGAATGAAAACCATGAATCTACGATGTTGTAATGGTTATAATGGTTTATTCTTTAGATACATTCTTGGCCATTTAACTCTGCAGTATGGCCCATTGGCTTAAGCACTAGACTCTCAAGAAGTGGGTCTCAGGTTCAAACTCTGACCAGTCGTGTAGTGTCGTAAGCCGTCATACAATTAGTGTGTCTTGCAGGCTGGTAAATAAATCTGTGATGAGCGGAGTTATGTCGAATATGGGCCGTCAAAAACATCGCACCTGGAGATCTGTGACTTGTTCTAGTTCGACTGTTGATGATAAATGGTGCTTAAAATCTTATCCATTAAATAATGCCTTATTAATATGTGGTGAACGGGATGCCTGAAGTAAAATAGAAGTGAAGTGACTAACCATATTTCGCCCTTATGTTATACATATTGCTTTTCGTTTAAATTGTGATGGCTTTCTAGGTTGTTTCCGAAGATTTTTACTACTGACTTGTATGGTTTATTGGCTAGTAAGCTACTCAAGGTTTGCTTTTCAGACTAGAGTGGCATCCTTTCAGTCTTATATTCTGACTGAGAAAATATCTGGGCAAAACAGTCAATGAAGTGGTTGAATAAGTTAAAGATTTCTTGAGTATTCCTAGAAGTATTTCGTCCAACGCTCTTGATCTCAATATCAAATACTTTTTTGTGATCTATATCCGTAGAACCTGATGTTTCCCGTGAGCATTTCTAGTTCTTATTTAACGGTTAGTGGTATCTCCGCACACAAGTCCATGAAAAAGCTTGTCAGTCTCTAATCGTGTCTGCTTTTAGGTTTTTCCGATGCATAAATTACTGGATATAAAGTTTGAATTGTCAATCACTGCGCAACGAAAGATGAATTTACTTGCCGAGGACTTCTGGTTTATCCGATATGTCTTTTTCGCGTGATGAAAACTCACGAGGGTGAATTTCGTTATCGCTGACTGCAGCGAGTCAGTTTTTTGTAGGACTTCATTCAAAACATCTTAGGTTGCGTCAGTAAGTCGATATCAACATAGGACCAGGCATTACCGCACAATGGTCCAAGTTGCCAGACGTCATGTCATCACAACAAGTAGCAAAGCAGTAAGATGAAAGATGAAGGAAGATAGAAAAGTCTGTCTAAAGCAGTCGAAAGCAATAAAAGATAGCAAAGAAGAATGAGAAAATGCTGAACTCACTATATAACCTAAAGTCTCCAACCTCTGGTTTCTTTTGTCACGTGGACCCTAACTGGATGGTCAGCATCTCTCAACATGGCTGAAACTAACAGTTAACGACTCTATGCTTTGATGCTGTTTCATTCTGGTCACCCCGAGCATTTTTTCAACCTGTACCTATAAGACTTGACTTACCTCAGCTAACATTGTGCGACGATGCAGTTGATGACTAGACATGTGTAACATATATCCTAGACACTTAAGTTGATGGAGGTTCATAACCTTATTAAATGACTTTTCTCCTCTCCCTAAAACCGTACATTTGACTTCTACTTTACTCACCTGGTGACAACACAATACACAGTTTATGCTATGAAGGGAAAGGTAATCAAACACCTGAAGCCTTCTGATGTCCCCTACTTTTAATGGAAATGTTTCACGACCATTAGCGCAGTACATTTGACCCTCACTAGGCAATCATATCGCGACTATGCCACAAATGGTATAAGTTGGAAAAAGCCAATCGTGACTTTTATATCCGTGCAGAGATTTTGTCGACCAATGACCCACCAGGGCTGATCCAACTTCCAAGGTAAGTGAAGTGGACAGGGCACCAGTGAAGACCACTCCTGAAGCTACAGCTTGCATTTAAGGGACAAGAAACGCACCCGAAACATCCTCAAATTGCCATTCATGGTGTCCCGAAGACTGCATCTTGTCAAAATCTTCACCTAAAAGGGCTACGTCATCTACATATTCTAGACCTACCAATAATTGCAGGCGGCATTTATTGCTACAAACGAGAGTATATGAATCTAAGAGAAGGCAACAGAACTCTGGTGAATCGATAAAAGTCTGACAAAAGTAATTAACTAGCTCTTTTTATAATAGCTTTAGCTTGTTTCCTGACTCGGCATGTGGTTCGATTTCAGTTCATATCACGACCTACTGTCCATCATAAGGTGGCTTATCTTCTAAGGCAGTGGACTAAACTCCATGCTTTCCATCTGCGTTGCCAGATATGGATTGATTCGTGGTTATGCATACAAAATTCTTTTCACACTGCTTTTACCCTCTTGGCCTACACTCAACAATGTTAAAATTCTCTGAAAAAGACATTTAGTTGTACTGGGTTCCAGAAACTGTTTTAACCATTTTCAGTGAGTAAAAATGCATTTGAAGTGTTGTAAATGAGTAAGCTTCCGAAGGGTTTGAGTAATATTGGCAGTTGAAGAGTCTGTTTTTACTACAGAACTGCGCTATTTGTAACAATAAATTTCCACTCCTTTGACACTAAATATACGATTTTCTGATTTTAAAAAAATGTTATTGGAACTAATTTAAGGTGGCAAGTTATGCATACGAAAAACGTTGAAGCAACTTAATTTGAATATATCCTTAATCACTATTCTGTGAAGAATCTGCATGAATATAAAGTTGCTGCTGAGGGCCAGTAAGCATTCATGGGCTTCATTTTCTTGACTGACTGACTAAAAACCTAACGTAGAACTTCCCACACAGGTGTATTGGCTCAAGTTGCCTCACTTCACAGTAGTAAAGGTGAATAAAAAGGAGTAATATCAAAACAGACAAAGCTTTTGAAGGGAATAAACAATTTGAAGATAACAGTTAGTGCGAGTATTCAAGCTTTAGGAGATGTCAGGGTGTGAATACATCTGCGCCAGCTATGTCAACAACAGTCATAAACCAGGCAGTCTACTTCTCCACACACGACTATGAACAACAGTCAGAGACTTAATCGACTAGAGCTACGTCTTGGTCCGGCTATCCGTGAACCCTCTCTCAATCTGATCCAACTTTCCCCAGCATACGTTGCAGTAAGTGGTGGCCTGGTATCTGGAGTACGTGTTCAAGCCGACTCAACTAACTAAGGTTCACAACCTCATCGACTGACCTGATTGTCTTGCGTAGTACCCTTCTCCTGAACTCAACAACGCTCACATAGTGATTCCCTTGCGAACACTATCAATACTGTGAAGACATCTGTAATCAAACCCCTGTAACGGCTTCATGTCGTCCACTTTTAATGGCCATGTCTCAAGGACGTATAACAGGATAGAGTGCCATGTACTCGTTGTTTTACAACTATTCAGATAGCTCGCCATTCGGCTCACAGGTGACATGAGTTGGCAAGTTCCAAGCAGGCCTTCTTTATCCGAGTTCAGATTTCGTCGGCAACCAGTCAGTTCCGGTTGATGCAAGTCTCTAATTGAGTGAAGTGGCACACACATTCAACGACTTCACTCCCTATCATAAAACTGGTGGCTGGGGGGGGGAGGGGGGAAGGGTGAAAACCAGTTTTC